TCTTGCAGTCTACTTCGCTTTTTTTAAAGTGAAATATGACAACCAGCATCACAGGTCAAATATTACAGAGATGGAACAATCACTGTCAGAACCCTGCCTAACCCAACAAACAGGAAGTTGCTTAAATGTTATCAATCTGTCCAGACTATTTATTCAAATATTTATATCCCGCTTTTCTTTGTGACTCAAGGCAGCTTACAAATCATACTGAAAAGCATAATAGGGGTGGACAAAAATTGTTTTTTTCCTGCTCCATTATAGCCTATAAGACCATTATCGTTAATGGGTCCCATAGGATATAATGGATAATCAGTCTGGGGGTATCTGGGGCTCTGGGGGGCTGTTTTTTTGAGGTAGCTGCTGGTGCCTTTCCCCAAACCCCAACCCCCCCCCCCCCAAGTTTCAAAAATATTGGACCAGGGAGTCCAATTCCATGAGACCCAGAAGGAGGTGCCTCCATCCTCCATTGTTTCCAATGGAGGGGAAAATGTTCTCAGTTCACTTGTAGGCTGAGCTGCCAGTTAAGTTCCCTGTGCTGCCAGCTAAATGTTGTGTGCCAGTGCCTGCTAGAGCAGCTTAGAAGGAACCTTGGCCCCAACTCCTCTCCCCCCCCCCCAAGAAAAGATTGTGAATGCATGCAAGTGCAAGCCCTCTGTTTCCCTTTTTGCCCTTACTGGTCAAGGCCTCTTATCCACATCCTAAGGCTGAGTGGTCCCCACTCATTTTTCAAGTCCTCCAAAGATCTCTGTATTCTCACAGAAATCTGAAAAGCACTGAGGTACTTCCCTGATTTCCAAACCTCTATGAACCTAAAACTAAATTATCTGGAGAAGGAATGAGGAAACTCTCTGTATTGGGCTGAGTCTCTTGAAAATCCCAAGACAAAAAGATTCCCCTCCCTCCTCCAGACCACAAAGAAAGGTGGTGGAGTCTATCGCCTGAGTTGGGTAAGGGCAGGTTGAGTGGCGGGGGCGGGGGGGAAGTGGCCCCAACTTCAATAAAATTCCTCCACTTCAATGATAAATGGCTCATGTCCAGGCTAGCTGGCTGCCTGGAACTTTTCTAAACAGTATGCATGTATGTATGTGTGATGAAATGTCTGGCCAACCCCTGTTAAGCTAAATTTGAGGGAGCTGGCCTCCTCAGTTTGAGTGCTTTAGTACTGTATTGTGGACATGGGGGAGGTTTCTGGATGGTGGGAAAGAGAACAGATATCCCCCTTTTTTAACGGCTACCCATTATGATCTCCCATCGACTAACCCCCCCACCCCGCCGCCGCCTGAATAGGAATGTTATGTAGTGCTCCAACGTTCCAGTTTGTGTTTGACTGGACCGCTACAAAATCACATTTCTTAAAGGCAGGAGGGAGCCCCAGCAACATTTTGTTGCTGATTCCTAGATGTCATTATTAGGTAAAATTTTAATGACAGCTGGGCACTATATAGAGTTATTTAAAAGAATGGCCCTACCCAAAAGTTTGTGGTCAAAACTTTTGTCCCCCAAATAAACACTGGAAATACCAACCATCGATCAGTAATGCATGTTGTTCCATCACTATAATTGTGGTATGAGGTGATAGCTTGCATATGTGAATGATTTCTCACAGGTCAGGCACCACAGAAACTTTGATAGTTCAAGATGCCTCTGATGGAATTGCTTAATACATGCAGCTGTGCCATCAAGCAGATGTATGACACATGGGAACACCAGCAATCACTCTCAGGATGGCTTGACCCTGTGTTTTTTTAATGTGTGTGTGCGGGGATGGCGGCGTTCAATTATACCATTGTAGATATATTGTCTACAAAATATGATCTTGTGCCTTTTTTGATTATCCCTTTATTTTTCCAGTTATTTATTGACCTCTACTCTTCCCTTCCCCATGTATGTTCTTATTACCTTGTAGAAACTGTAATGAGTCACGACTTCTCATTCTCTTGATTTTTCTTCTCTCCAGTTGCTTCCTTCCCATTTTGTCTGTTGCTGTTTCCTGTTTTCCCTTTCTGGTTTCTCCTCCTTCCTGTTGGTTTCTCTTGGCTCACCTATCATTTCCCCTCAGCAGAGTTGGCCCTTGAGAGGCTGAAGAGGTGCTCCACTCCCTGCTGCCTGCCATTTCAGGTGCTGTGTTGTTTAGTATCTCTCAGCCATCAAGCAGGCTGAGATGGTTGATTAGGACTTGGCAGGGAGAGGGAGCCACTGTTTCACAATAGCATTGATGATGTATTAGTAGACATGGCAACCATGTCAAAGGGTCTATAAACCGCAATTTGTCAGCTGCAGTTTTGTGAACTCCCCTTATGGTATAGATTATTAATTATGTGACATACAGGAGATAGCAAGCGTTTTGTAGTTTAAGAGTGGATTCTTCTAGAATTGCCTTGACTGAGAATGTTTTTCAGAAATTTCTGTTCAAACCACATCTTTATAAGGTCAGGATCCATGGAATATTGGCATAGAATATGTTTTATTGAATCAATGGGATTTAGTTTTTCAGTTCTGTGATTCGGATTGAAGTGCTAATACGTTTTTTGGGGAAAGGGCTTTCTGCTTCAGTTCTGCAGCTTCTGTCTTCATCTGAATTATTTATTGGAATATACAGAGATACATCAACTGCAACATTTCTTTGCCCCTCTTTGTTTAGTTTGCATCTGTTGCATGTCCTCTACTTCTTACTTTATCTACCTAAGCTTAAAAAATAATTGGAATCTAATACATTTCTCAAATCAATTTTTTGAGCTATGTAAGCTGTCCTAAGGAATGTAGAGAAAAGGTTAAGATACTAGGAGCAGTGTTTCATCATAAATAGTTTCCAGTTTTGCACACAAATCCATAGAAATGTTTCATGTCTTTTAAACTTCAGGAGGTTTATGGACCAGAACATACACGAAGTGTTTTATTGAAGTAATTTGGATTCTTCATGAGTAAGGGTTTTTTAGAATGGTCCTAAAATATTGATGCTATTGAGAGAATTTGAAATCCTGGAGAAATGGTACCAGCATTTAATGCAGTAGTTTATTTCTTTGTTCTGCTTTCAGGCTCGTTAACAAATGTGACATTCGCAGTTGGCATAGCAGTTTATGCTTTATTGGGTTATTGCATAAGGGAGTGGCGCTTCCTGGCCTTCGTATCAAATTCTCCAGGACTTTTCTTTTTCCTTCTCTCTTTGTAAGTAACTGTTTTATGTAAATGTAAACTAACTTCAAAAAATTGTATCTATCATTGGAGGACAGAATAAAAGCTTGGCAGATATTTTGCTTGCTGTATTAAGGCTACATTGATGTACTGCATCCGGAAAGATAAGTTTTATTTATTTAATATCCCCCCTTTTTTTAAAAAAAATCCGAGCCTGTAAACCGTGAAAGTAGGTTACAGATGAATGAAACCTGCCCACCACATTGAAAGGGGCCTTGCTGTATCTCACACTCTCTTCCGCAGAGTATTGCTGATGGAGTGATGGATAGTGGTTGTGCCAGGCAGGCTGATGGAAAGGTCCTCTGCCAGTGTTTCTGCCAAGTTGCAGAATGACTGGTGATGATGGCATCTGAATTGGAAAGGCCAGCCTGGCTGATAGCAAATTCAGACCTGTATCTGTGGTTTAACCTGTGGTTATATATTGGCTTCTGGCTGATAGCAAATTCAGACCTGTATCAGTTTGCCGTAGAAAGCAAACTGTGGTTAAATATTGGCCTCAGTGCTAATGTAAAGGTACATGTTGGGTTAGATGCTTTCCATTTGTGAGAAGATACTAGTATCAGTTTAAAAGGGAGGAGGATAGTTGCCAATTTCCCCCTTGCTGTTTCCAGAGATCCACAAACCCAAAGGACATCATGTTGGAGTGCACAGCAGGGGGAAGGGAGCCTAGTTTGCATTTCTGGGCACCATCCACTCACACTAGACAAGATCCACCCCACTGTGATCAGTGTTGAAAAGAGAGGGGTTGAGATGAATGTGTTGTGACTTGTGCCCAGTCTCTCGTAAACACTTTGTTTGTAGCTGGACATAAGAGTCTAATATTTATTTATTCAATTAGTTTATTTTAAACATTTTTAAGATGCCTTTCCAACCAATTTAGGGTCCCCAAGGTGGAAAACAATAAAAATATTACAACAGTCTTACACACACACACAAAAACACTCAATTAAAACAAAATATAGACACAGGAAAATGTTTATAATAAGGAAGATATGATTGTTTTATACAACTGCAAGCTGCATGTAAAAGACATAGTTTCTAAGAGTTTCTATATTGGGGGCATAATGACAGATAAATGGATTTCAGAGAAGAAATCTACAGGGAAAAATTAATTAAAAACAAAGCAAGTAAAAGATGTTCTCCCTCGTGCACATTGCCGGGTGACTATGGCATTATATTACACAAAATAATAGCACTGTAATTGTTAAATTGGTTATGGCTTTAATGTGACAAGCAATTATGATTTGTCAGTTCCAGTAGGTTTGTCTTTCTCTTGTCACATTGAATGAAACAGATTGTTTAGTCTGCCTTTCACACCAGCTAACAGTAATTTAAAATGAATTGTGTGATGGGGATATCTCATTTGCCATTTGGAGGTCTGATGTGCTCTAGTTAGCTTTCTACATTCTGCTACGCTGATAGTCTGCAGTGAGAGAATGAAAAAGAAGAAAAATGAGCTTGGACACGATCCATCTCTCTGAATGCATGGAAGACAAGCGGGCTGACAGTAAAGCTAATTAGAATGAGATGAAGGAAAATGTATGTATTTTGCTATTTTCTTGAGAATAAAAAAAAAGAACTTAAAACTGTGAAACATAACCATAAGGGGTGGATGCAGAAGAATGAGTATTCTGCCTTTCTTGATTTAGGAAGCTGGGAGCCTTCCTGGTTGTAGTCTTTGGTTCTTCTATATTGTGACTGAGGATGGTGATACATAGTGCCAGGATTTTAAAAAGAATTTTGGGGTGTGTATGTATGTGTAAAGTGCTGTCGAGTTGCAGCCGACTTATAGTGACTCCGTAGGGTTTTCAAGGCAAGAGACTTCAGGTGTAGTTTTCCAATGCCTGCCTCTGCGTTGTGATCCTGGATTTCCTTCGTGTTCTCCCGTCCAAATACTAACCAGGGCTGACTCTGCTTAGCTTCCGAGATCTAATGAGATAGGGCTAGACTGGGTGATCTGGATCAGGGTTTGGGGGAGACTACTAGTGTATTATTCTCTCAATAGTTTGTAGGATGTTTTAACATTTTAAGAGAAGTTCAGATTGCAAAACTACAAATTTCTGTACATTACATTCTGTGCTAGACAACTTTTGTCAAACTTTGAAAAAACTTAAATGCAAGTGGGAACCCTGGGCTGACTTGCGGAGAGGGTGCATCCCTTCCCCCTCTTTGCTTCCTTTCCTCTTCCTCCTTCTTTAAAAATCTCCCTCCTCTTTCTCTCCCTCCCCTTATCTGTCAACCTACCCCATCACTTTTGCCCCAATCCCTTCTCTGTTAATCTACCCTCTCTGATAATCTATTCCCTATTCCCCTCCTTTCTCCCATTCCCCTTTACCTGTCAACCTACCCCCATTTCACTCTTATCTCCCATTCCCCTTATCTGTCAGTCTACCCCCATCTCTTTTGCCCCCCTTTCTCCATCGGTCTACCCAGTCTTTGCTGCTCTCCCTACCCACCACCCACTTCACACATACACACTTTTGCAATTCTCCCCACCTATCCTCCCAGCCTTGGCATTCTACTCACCATCCATTCTTGTTGCTTTCCCCACCTACCCCCACCCTTGGCACTCCATTACCCCCACTGTGGGCATTCACTCCCTCTTGCTCTCTTCCCACAATCAATCAATCTAATTTATTGCTGCAGGAGCCAGTAAAACTCTCTTCCCACCTACCCCGCCACCGTTGGTGCTCCTGCCACCCCTTGTCTTACTCTCTCCCCATGCTTGTCACTTTCTTTGCCCTTAGCCAAATCTCTCTTGTTCTGCCCCTATCACTCTTTCTGTCCTTCTGCCCATCAGTGTCTCCCTCTTTCTGTCTCCCACCTCAGAACTCTCTTTCTACCACCCCTCCCAAGCTCTCTTTCTGTCTGTCCCCCCCCGCCAAGGCTTCCCTCCCCCTTTGCTTTCCTTGCAGGGTCTCCCGAAGCTGCTCTGGGTGGGCCAGCTGAACTCTCTTTCTACCACCCCTCCCAAGCACTCTCTCTTTCTGTCTGCCCCCCCCCCGCCAAGACTTCCCTCCCCCTTTGCTTTCCTTGCAAGGTCTCCCGAAGCAGCTCTGGGTGGGCCAGTTGACCTTCCCTCCCCTCCCTTACTGGCTCGCCTGGAGCAGCCATTCTTCTGCAACCCAATGGATTCCCCCATCGCATTCCTGTCACCCTCTCTTCTGCCAGCGGCCTTGGTGGGGATGGCTCCTGCTGTGGTGGCTTCCACCATGGCTCTGGGGAGGGCTCCTGCTGTGGCAGGTTCCCCTGTGGCTCCAACAGTTTCCCTTGCGGTCCCACTGGTATGGGGGGCTGTGACCTTGTTCCCGGCATGGCCGGCTTCGGAACGGCCTCATTAAGTTGTGTTCTCTGCGCACATGCAGGAAATGGTCTTTTACTGTTGGGGGAATTTAAACGTTCCCCCATATACTTTTTTAAACATGTCAGATTTTTCTGCACACCTGGGGAGTGCCCCAAGTTCTGCAGAAAAATCTCTTTGCCCCCTGCACAGAGATACAATAAGTATCTGCACAGAGGGGCCATGTTGAGAGATATATAGAGCCAAACCAAATTGGAAGTTTCCACTGATTCCCCATTGAGGCCATCTGTAGACCTCCTTCACATAGTTCTTCAGAGTCACCTATTCCGTAGGAGCAGCATTTCATGGAGATCAGCAGGCTGCAGTTGGAAGGGGAAGGTGAGAAAGTTCCATTCTACTGATGGAAAATTGAGTCTGAATTCAATCCTATGATTATTACATAATCCGATATTTGTATTCGTTTGCACACAAAAAAAGCATTTCAGAGAGTAAATGCAAGTGTTTTTGTTGCTATGTTTCTCTTTCAGTATGCTTCCAGAATCACCAAGATGGCTGTACTCTCAAGGCAGAACTGCAGAAGCAGAGGCAGTTCTGCAATACATAGCCCTTGGTAATGGAAAAGAAAGAGTGACTGTGAAGCTGAAACAGTGCGGGGGAACAGTGAAAAAAGATGACTCTGCATCTGATGTCCTAAATCTAGTTCGAAACCCAGTGCTTCGTTGGCGCACTATCATCTTGATGTACATCTGGTAATTATTAAGAAGAGATTCTGAGAGCGCATGAATTAATTTAACAGGGGAAAGGGAAATCCTAATGTGTAGAAATTTTACTCTGAAGCTGCGTTGGAACATTTTTAAGGTACTGGTACATCAAACAGAAATAAATTCTTTAGAGATTTTATTTTTTTCTAAATCATGAAGGGATCATGGTCTCAGTTTTCATAACACACACCCCCTTCAGTCTATGGGGCTAAGAACTAAGGTTCCTCTTACCCTTATGACAGCACCACAGAAGGTTTTGTGGCATGCTTGTTAAACAGATAATATGTGGGAAGTACAGTATACATGCTCTACTATCATTTCCATTTAGAAATTTTGGTTGTTTGCATGTTCCCTAGATATGCGCTTAAAGGGGCAGATTGGAGCCTATGAATGACAGCCAAAGCACAATAATCTACCAGAGATTATGTTTTTTGTCTGACTGTTGCTTGTTTTGCATGGGGGCAGAAGGGGCTGAGTGCTTGTCCTGTTGAGAGGCCAGCAGGATGAGAATTTTCTGCTTCACTTGTTGCTGTCTCGCAGAAGTGAGAGGTCTGAACTCTTTCTTGTTGCGGATCCAGTCCTGCATTAGTGCATGTCTACCCCCAATCCCACTGTTGCAGATGAGAGGTGCTGATCTCATACTGCTGTATATGAACAGGGCAAGACTGTTCCTTCTTCAGCTCATGGGGTGTTGTTGGAGGGCAGAGCTGTGTGTACTTATGGTTTGATTCTAAATTTGCTGTATCTAATTGAAATGAAAGTTGGTAAAGCTTGGCGTTTTGACGGCTTCAACAAAATCCATATTGGTTGTCCCAGTCCATTATTTATGGCACAGTTGTTGATGAAGTACACTGTACTGGCCCAGCCCTCCCAGGGAGCGGGTGTCATGGCAAGGATGGCGGAGAGAGAGAGTGAGAGTAATCCAGTCCAAAGTCAGAGGTTCCAGAGAGCAGGTTTAACAAAGCGCAGTCTAGGGTCAGGGTTTCCAGAAAAGCTGGTTGTCAGGTCCAGTCCAAGGTTGCAGAGGTCCAGTAACAGCAAGGTTGGTGGCTCAGTAGCACAGTGTATTTGTTGCATCCACAAACTACTGTTTCTCCTGGTTGGCTTTATAGCCAAGTCTTAACAAGCAACACTTCCAGCCAATTCCTTGGCAGTTATCCTGAAACTACTCATCCATCTCATCGGTTGACAGTTGATGACCGGCCATGAGTTTCTCACTCCTCCTCCTTTCCTGCAACTCAGCTCACCTCTGACAGTGTCGGTGAGCTAGTTGGGCTGGGAGTGGCTTCTGAAGCCTTGTTTACTGCTTCAGAGCTACAAGGTATTGGTTTGGTTTCAGCTGTAGGCTGTAACCTGTGGGTCTGCAGATCTCTTGTTGCTTTTCTTCTGGCTCAGAGCCAGCTGTAGCTGGTTGTTCAATTACTGGCTGAGGGCCAGCTGCAGGTAGCTCTTCATCTGCAGTATATGACTTATGACACATACTTCTTTTTGCAGAAATTGCACCACAAAGAAGGGTAGGCATGTTTGGAAGATTCTCCTCCCTTCAAGTCTGATAACTAGCAGAATCTCTGCTAAAGTTCTTTTTGACCCATTTTGCATGATATTATGTTCTTCTGTAGTACTCAGCTAAATAAAAGTTAATGTTGCTTAAATAAGGCTTATAGCAATCATCATCCACTGATTGATCTTTCATTAATATCTTTAGGTATGTGTGCAGCCTTGTATATTATGGCTTAACACTGAACGCTGGTGAATTAGGAGGGAATCTGTATCTAAATGTGGCTCTGTATGGCCTTGTAGAAGTTCCAGCATTTCCACTCTGTATGTTCTTCATTGAGAAACCCTGGTAAGACTAATAAGCAATCAGCTGCTGTGGGTAAAATGTATTGTTAGAGCTAACATTGTGTTGAGGAGTTTTGCATGAACTTCTGTTTTATTAAGGTACCTAAGAATGTGATTGCCATGGACATAAGAGGTCTCAAAATTGCCTTGGTGTGCTGAGATGAATGAATCTTGGATAACCGCATCACCACAGCTGAGACCTGCTGTGCTTGAGCAGTAAATGAACTGTCTTCTTATGGCCTAGTGAAGTCATGCTTGCTTCATATGTTGGTGGCCTCATCAGAGATCTATATATCTAATTCTCAACAGTCCCTTCTGCCTGCAGATACATAGTTCCACAAACAGAGGGCACACTCTCCCCCAAGAGGTTTTTCCACACACTCGGGACTCCGTGGGTCTGCAGAAAAATCCAAAAACATTAAAAAAAAACCTTGTGGAGAGTTGAATCCCCCCCCAATACTTTTTGAAATGGCTGCCATAGGGATCTACTTCAGGCCCTGCTGCATCGACAGTGAGAAATAGATTGGCTGATAGCCAGAGAGAGAGAGAGACGGGGACAGAGAGATGATGAGTGAGGAAGGAGGGGAGGAAGCAAAAGTAGAAGTGGAGCTGGGATTGAGGAGGATTCCTTCTGAAGTATGAATGCTTAAATAGCAGGGGAAAGTTTTAAAAGGACATCTGAGCCTGCAACTGTAAAGCCTTGCAAGTGGGAGGGAAGGATCGTTCTCACCCCAATCTTTTTAGCTGCGGGCTCCGCTGTCCTTTAAAACCATTAACTCCAGCTTCTAACTGATTCTCCCTCCCCAGCTTGGGCACTGCTTCTTCCCACTGCTTTTCTCTTCTGACTGTCTAGAAACCAGAGGGAAGTTATCAAAAGCTGAGGCATCATTAATGGATGGGTGGGCACAGTGACTGAGAGGTAGGGATCAGGTGGAGAGGAGGCGGGATTTCCTCAAACCAATGTCACTTTGTACACACTGCCTTTTAAAACATTTATTAGCAACCATGACTGCCAAATACAGTTGTGGTGCTGTGGGTAAACGTAGACTCATCTCAGGCTGAAGAAGCCTGGAGCCCTGCAACCACACAATTCTCCACAGCAAGGCAAGAGACTGGACAAGCAAAAGTGCCTCAGGCTGATCCATTGATAAACCAATGGCGATTTAAACAGATGCTTTTGGCAAGGGGAGAGTGGTACAGGACACCTGTAGCACCTCAAGACCTGCAGTACCCAGTAAGGCAATCTTTGAAATCTCACCTCACATAAACAAAGTGATTGTAATTCCCAGACAAACTCCTCTTTGAAGCCAACTTCAGTCGGTTGGCTTACTGTGCACCAGGGAACTGAGCAAGGCTATACGGCTCTCTTTCCAGTGTTCAATAAAGAAAAAGGGGGAAACAAAGGGAAAAAGGAAAAGTGGGCTCCAACTGTCACTCCCTTCCCTTCACAGAAGGCTGTCACAGAACTATCTCCTTCCTTAAGAGGGCACCACTCAGAACAACTGAAAGAATCTCTGCCTTTTTTGTCAGAAACAACAATCCCTCATCAGTTCCATACAGAATAATACAATGCCAAAAGTACCTCACAAAAGAGGACACCCTGCCAAAATGAGAAAATCCAAAAACCTATCAAATCAGTTACTGCAAGAAAGCCATTTAAACAGTAACCAATTATACTATCAAAAAGACATTAATAATATGCAACATTTTGTTATGGGTCCCCACTTGTTAATATTCTGTTTAGCACTGACCTGCTCAGTTTTTGAGCCCTGAAGAAAACTGGGACTACAGGACTTGCCTATCTGCTTCTTTTGATTAATTTTTTTTCATTGACAACGATAAGAATATTTCCAATAATTTTTAAAAATCTGAATCCTTGTGGACTTCCAGGCTGAACTTGTGTTATTGTTCTTTTGTAGGTCAGGAAGACGTAAAAGTACAACTGCTTTTTTGATATTTGCAGGCTTTGCTTGTATGTTTACCACGTTCTTACCAGAGAATACCGGTGGTGAGTATGTGTTTCGCCCCTTAAAGTAAATGTAACTTGGGCCAATGTACACACAGCTGGTCTTACCAGAACACAAAATATCAAATGCATGTTATATTTTAGTGACAAAAAGGAACACAATTGAAACATTGTCCTAAATAAACTAAAAGCTTGCATTTGAAACTATGTACATTGGCCTTTTTGGTTTCACATGATGTCTGATCCATGGTTTAGATTTATTGTGGTTATCTTGTGAAACCAGGATTCCTTTCACAGACAGTTCTCCCTCTGAAGTGGAGGACATTTTGATGGTGTTTCCCACTGTCCAATCAGGAAAGCAGGAACAATCCCCCCCCCCAGCTTCCTATCTCTTGCCTGTGGGAGCCACCCCTTTCAGTTCTTTTCTTGCCTCTACAGGGAGAGCAGCTTAGATCGGCCTTGCCTTTATCTAACTCTTAAACTCTAAATTTTTCTCACTCAGCTTTATTTAATCTTACATATTTCCCCTCATAACTGCCTTTATATACTTTGTTTAGTTCCTTCACTGTTCTTTCTTATATTCGAACTCATTTTGTTGAAGACCAACAAATAAGATCTAGAGGCCTCCTCAGGCAGCGACAGCCATTTAAAGGGTTTTTCTTAAACTAAATTTCTTACTCAGCCTTATTAAATCTGCTACATCTTCCCTCATAACTACTTTTGTATACTTAAAAAAATTATTTTCACTGTTCTTCCTTACATGCTAATTCTTTTGGAGAAGAACAAGAAGATATAGAGAGAGGCTGTCTCCTGCTGCAGCAGCCATTTTATGAGTTCCTCTTAAACTCTAAATTTCTTAATCAGCTTCATTCAGTCATATATATTTTCCCTCATAACTACCTTTATATACTTCCTTTAATTCTTTTCACTGTTCTTCCTAACATTCTAACTCCTTTGGGAAAGAACAAGTTATATATAGAGGCCATATTCTGCTGCGGTGGCCATTTTAAGAGTTCTTTTGTTTACTGAACGATCTCACTTTGACTGCTCATATTATGGCAGACCAACAAGGAGACACTGAGGGCATTCCTTCTGCTGAGGTGTGGGGTGCTCCCCCTCATTGCTGGTGCCAGGCAGGGCACAAGATGAGCCAGCATGTCCTTTCGGCTTGCCTCGGCATCCCCAACGAAATTGCCTATGGGCATAAGTAGAGCCAGCATGCTCTTTTGGCTTGCCTTGGTGTTCCCAACAAAATTGCCTATGGCATTAAAGCGGAGCCAGCATGACCCATAGCGGGCATATCTTGGCATCCCCTTGTTCATGTCTTGCAGCTCTCAAACATCTGATATTTATTCTGTGTTGCTGTTATGTTAAGCAAGTTTAGCCACCCCTGTACTAGAAGTTACCTTTCACTGGAATTCTTTGAAAACTGTTGCTGTGTAACTCATTGGATACCCCAGTGTCATGCCTGCCCCCGATCCGGCACCTAGGAGCTCTGAAACGGAGGACAACGTGCCTTTAACATCATCAGAGGCACGAGAGTCCTTGCCAAACTTAAGTGCTGGAGAGGATGAATACCAAACTCCAGGACAGCTTGCACCTGAAGCCGATCAGGCAGTGCCTGGCCCCAGCAGTACGCCACCCGATTCTCCTCCACCTATTGACCGGCTGAGGAATCAGAGATGCCGGGACTTGGCAACCAGACGCAAGGAGGCACGCTTGCGCGGTCGGAGAACAACAATGAGCCCGGAGTTCTAGCAGAATCAAGGACTTCGCAAGGCAGTGCTAATGAGTTAATGACCCAGCACGCTATTTGAACAGGTCACTGACTGCTGGCAAATCGTGCTGGCAAACTAGTCCTTCAGACCAGAAGCTCTGCACCTCTGACACTGTTCCTGAGATCCCATACTGACTGACTTCCCGGGTCCTGAATCCAGTCCGCGTTTTGACGACTCTCTGACCCTTGGTAACGCTCTGACTACGGCTTAGCTTTGTGTATTGGGACGCTGGCTCTGCTTGTTTTTGATCTTTCTGGCTTTGACTCACGGACTGAACTGTAAACTCTCCCTCTCTGCCCGGCCCCCTGGCTCTGTCGTGACACATCTTATTTGAAGTTCTTTATAGAGCTGTGGTGGCTCAAGTGGTTAAGACGCTGAACTGCAGAATGGAAGGTCGGTAATTCAGCAGTTCGAGACCCGAGTGCCGCATGACGGAGTGAGCTCCCATCTCTGGTCCCAGCTCCTGCCAACCTAGCAGTTCGAAAGCAAGAAATTGCAAGTAGATAAATAGGTATCGCTTCGGTGGAAAGGTAACAGTGTTCCGTGCACCTTGGTGTCTAGTCATACTGGCCACATGACCACGGAAATGTCTTTGGACAGCGCTGGCTCTTCAGCTTGGAAATGGAGATGAGCACTGTATCCCTAGAGTCGGATTTGACTGGCTTTCGAGCAAGGGAAACTTTTACCTATGGAGAGAGTTAAAAAGAGTGCCGGGGTTGGGAAAGGGGAAATTTTTTATACTTTCTGTGGTCCTTCTTCTTGTTCTATTGCTTGAAAATTCTTCCAAATGGTTCTTGTATGGAAACAATTAACAGAAATTGAGGATGGCTATACTGGGCTGACCACCACATGGTGGCCCGTATAAGGAAGCTGTTGTCTGCTTCGAGCAGTTTACCATGTGGAGAAATTAAAATGTTCACTGTACCACTTCAAGATCACATTTTGTAGTGCTATATTAATAATTGTCTTTCCTTACTGGGAGGCAGTTTGAAGCACACAGCTGCATTGCATTGTGGATATTTATAAGCAGTGCCATTTATGGAAAATACATATAAGGCAAGTTGCCTAGTAGGATATACTAGGAAAGAATAAATTTTAAAAGGTGCATTTAAGGCTTTTTTTTTTTTGTAACAAACATAGATTAATGAACTACAGAGTTTATGAAACAGAGACAGAACAGAACTTACATTTCTGCCTCCAGTATAGTCATACCCATTAAATGCTCTGCAGCCTTTTCAGCCCTGCATACTGTGAGTTTTAAAAAGATGTTTCTGGCTAGGGAATCATAAAACAAGTTTATCATTGACTGCTTGAACAATCAATATTCTAATGATTCTTGTAAATCTTTAAAACAAATTTACTTCCGCAGTGAATGGTTCTCAGACATTGGCTTAGGAGGACTTTGCTCTCAGAGGAGATGAGTCTGTCTTACGTTTTGGCAAGTGATTGTTTTTTACTTTTGTGTTCTCTTCTAGATATTTTCTTCAGTCCTAGTCTCTTAGCCTTATATGGAAAATTTGCTGTAAGTGCTGCCTTCAACATCATATATATTTATACTTCGGAACTCTATCCAACAGTAGTGAGGTAAATGAAAACTGAACTTTTTGTTTGAATTTGTATTTTCAAATCACTTAAGATTCTCAAATGATGACAGTGATGCAGCACAATGCAACCAATACTCTCTCTAAGCTGTAGAGTCTTGTGAGCAAAAATTCTACTTTGTGAGCTACTGACATTCAAGTTGTGAGTGAGCCATTTGGCTACTGCATAAATTAGTTTACTCTGGAGCTATCCTTCCTGAGCTAAGACAAAATTGTGTGTGCCGGAGGCTAAAAAACTGTGAGCTAGCTCACACTAACTCAGCTTAGAGGGAACACTGATAGCAGCAGTGTACAGGCTAGACTTTTGAAATTTTAACCTTTGTGCTCCTAGATTAGCCATGTAGGCATTCATTGGCTTTGCTGAGCACAAATAAAGATTGGCTTGTAGTAAAACAACTCTTATGCAACTCTGTGGATTACTACCTATGAGCCAGATAAAGCAGCACCTAACTGTACTACTGTTGTTTGGTGGGGCAGAATCATGCCAGTTACCCATGCCTTGGTAACATCCAGTTTAGATTACTATAATGTCTTATATTTGGGCTGCCTTTAAAAGGCATCCAGAAATTTCAATTGGTTTGTGACTCATAATATTCAAATTATTGTTTGGGCCCACCATGCCCCTCACATTTCACCAGTATTGTAAGACCTTCACTGGCTTTTAAAAAATTTCCCCATCTTCCCAAGCTCAGTTTAAAGGGCAGTTCTGGAACTATAAAATTCTAAACTGGCCTTGAACGAGAGGTATCTGAAGGGTCTCCTACTCCTGTGTAAAGCCACCATGGACATAGATTGACAGCTGAGACTCTGTTCCAAACACCGCCCCAAGGTAGATGACTTTCTCTGTTATGGTGCTCTGGTTGTAGAACTCCCTCCCCCAACAGATTCACATTAGCCCACCTGACTATTCTAATCAGGGCCGGCTTGAGGTGTTTCTGCGCCCTAGGCGAGGCTGCCTTATGGCGCAGATGCCAACCTCCCGGTGGGGACTGGATACCTGGAGACCTCTGGAGGCAGCCACCCTTTTGCTGCTGCCACCACTGCCTCCTCCCCCCCCCACTGCCGCCACCACCAAAGGGGGGGAGGAGGGGGGCGGCACAGCTTGGCGCCCCATCCAGGACCCGGAGCTCTAGGCGAATGCCTAGTTTACCTAGTGGGTGAGCCGGCCCCGATTCTAATATGGGTAAAATATAATTACAGATTTTTTCCGTGTCTTTTACCCATTAATACTGGTGCTGCTTTACAATGCCTCTTTTGTCCGGTTTGTATTTTGGTTTTGTAATCTTTTAATTTTGTACTTAAGCTTCCTTGGAGATCTTTGGGGGAAAGGTGGGATATAAATCTTTAAATTGGCAGTACAGGTGAATGATACACAAGGAAGTGCTGCCATCGCACTCGAAGTATTGGAAGCTGTTTTAGCTATCACAGTACAAATTGTATTTGGGGTGGTTGCAACTCCCTTTTTGCAATGATTAATGCTTTTCTAGGGATTGTGACGTGTTCAGGCACACAGTTTGTTTGTTTGTTTATCTATCAGATTTGTACCTCGCCCTCCCCACCGAAGCAGGCTCAGGGCGGCTTACAAAATTTTCAAACACATAGACAGCTGTTAAAACAATCCTAAAACCTTCTAAAAACAATCCAAATAATATGAAGTGCTAGTACCTTGGTCTGGCAATAATAACGATGATGATGTTTGGCGACGGCGGCAGCAAGTTGATGTCCTGTCCAATTGATCCGCTCCTCGTTCTGCTTCTTTTGTGGCTGGCTCAGTTCCCCTCGCGTAATGGAAAAACAAATGTAGGCTAGTGATCCATCACACATTTTAAATCAAGATATCTGTAACAAAATTATATACTGCTTTTTCAAGTAAAAGGGTGCTGATGGTATGACTGTTAAGAACATAAGAACATAAGAGAAGCCAATGTTGGATCATGCCAATGGCCTATCCAGTCCAATACTCTGTCACACAGTGGCCAGAAATACCAGGTACCATCAGGAGGTCCATCAGTGGGGCCAGGACACTAGAAGCCCTCTGACTGTTGCCCCCCCTCCCCCCAAGCACCAAGAATACAGTGCTTCACTTGCCCCAGACTGAGATTTCCTATCTATACCTTGTAGCTAATAACCACTGATGGACCTCTGCTCCATAGGCTTATCTAATTCCCTCTTGAAGCCGTCCATGCTTGTAGCCACCACCACCTCCTGTGGCAGTGAATTCCATGTGTTAATCACTCTTTGGGTGAAGAAGTACTTGCTTTTATCTGTTCTAACCCGACTGCTCAGCAATTTTATTGAGTGCCCACGAGTTTCCATTGATACGACTTTTCCATCAATATGACCAATTGAAATGACATTGCTTGCTTCAACACTTTTTAGGAATACATCTCTGAAAGTCTTTATTATTTATTCGTTGAAGTTTGAGAATAAAAGTTGGAGTAATTTGAAAATAAGGTTTTGCTACCACCTAGTGGTAATACTTAAAATTATTTTTCATTTCATCTAGTTTGCTCTATATTAATGCAACTTAATTCAGACATTGCACCAGCCATAGTTTAGAATGCAAACATGGCGTGAGTTCCAAATATACTGTTGACCCATGGCTTACTGCTGCTGGTCTGCCTTCTTTTGCCACCTGCTCAGGTCAACAGCTATAGTTTATCAGTTCGGATAACCAAACTTAGTACCATGCAAACTCAACTGGAACTTGTATTTCCCCTGTTTTTCCTCAGAGCATTATACATTGCTTTTAATTTTTGTATGTGCTTCAGTGGCTGCTTTAGAATGGTTGCTTTAGATTTTAAATTGTATTGCATTATTGTTGGAGTTTACGTTGCAGAATTTGCATACCACCTTTTTCAGTTTGAATACATTAATAGGAACAAGATATTCAGAGGGAAGGGACTGTGGCTCAGTGGCAGAGCATCTGCCTGGCGTGCATAAGGTCCCAGGTTCAGTCTTTGGCATCTCCAGTTAAAAGGACCACGTGGCAGGTAATATGAAAGACCTCTGCCTCAGGCCCCAGAGGTCTGCTGCCAGTCTGAGTAGTTAGTACTGACTTTGATGGACCAAGGGTCTGATTCAGTATAAGGCGGCTTCATCTGTTCATGATATTCAGGGATGCAGGCTTCCGAATGAGTTCATTGCTGATTTCCTGGTAAAAAAGGTTTTCCCTTAAACTAGAGGTGCATCGCCCAAAGTTACATGGGCCAGGTTTGTCCTTGATTAGAACTCAGTGGGTCATGCCAGGCCCCATCCCATGATATCACCAGATGAGAGCACAGCGGTGCTCTGGTATGAGGATAAAACAACTGACCTACCTTAAAGGACTGTTTTAAGGACTGCGGAGATAATATGGTGAATGAGTTTAGTACAATTAAAATGCACCGTATAAATCATATTATCAAGTTGTTATCAGGGCAGTCTGCCAACTGAAGTCTTTTTACTAGATTCACTGGTTAAGACAGTGGAGCTGTAGATAAGGAGGTGGATCCAGCAATAGATTTCTGCTATTGGAAGGGAGGGTGATTTTTATCAGTTCCCCCTTTGTACTGCAAACTCCCAAGTTCACCCCTTTTGCTGTTCATTGGGGTCTCTGTCCCAGGAGCAGTGCGTTGGGCAGTATTTTAGGATGTAACTGGACTGTGGAGGAAAGTGAGTGCCATTATGTTGACAGAAATACCTTCCACGAGAGGAAATCACCAGTGGATCCAACCCTACATTTAAATAAATTGAATGTTATTTTATTAGTGAGACATCATTTCCCCCTTTACTAGAGGAAACCTCAAAAAGGCTCAGTCATTTTTGGTTGGCAGTTTAAAGGTGAAGAGAGAGGTGGCTTTGTAGGAGTATCAGGTGTCCACCAATAACTCTTCAAGGAATTGATTCTGGGTCCCAGGGCTTCCAGGAGTCCGTGGTGTCCAGGAGGGACTCAGCTTGCTCCAAGCTCAGCTTCAGTGCAGGCCTGCAGAGGCTGTGCGCAATACAGGGCAGCCTATGAGCTGGGACAAGACTCAAAAGCCAGGAGGGGTTGCTGGGTGGGGTGGTACCTGCCTCTCTGACCAGGAAAGGGGCAGTGTCTCCTGGGTGGCTGCCAATGTGTCAAGTTCAGGCTTAACTTTCGATTTCTTTAAATTCTGTTTCTCTTCACCTTCATTTGTCATGTTACATTCCTAAGGGGGGGGGTCGTGTGTTGTTCGAGTGCATGGGAGTAGAGGCCATAACTTTTCTGAAGATGTGCCCGTTGGTTCCCATGGGACTGACCTTGGAGAATCTCTCTGCCAGCCTGGTTTAGATAGGGCACCATATATCTGTCTGCATAGCCATAGTAACGCCAGGGGTCGGTGTGACATGGATGAATGTGGAATTTTACGCCTTTACCTATCTCTCCTTATATATAATTGAATAGTGGGTGCCAAAGTTCTAATTCTAAAATGCACTCCCTTAGTGTATGGCTGATGGCACTGCTCCTCAGCATATATCACCACCAATCAGAAGGCAAAGCCCGGGTCCCGCCCACACCACAACTGCTGCGACAACCTGGTCTTTTGCATATGGAAGCTGATTGGACTTCACTCCATTCCACACCTCAAACTCCCCCCCACAAGGCAGTTGGAATGTCAGTTGCATATGGAATCTGCTGTACTCTGGTGGTGTGCAGGTCCCAGATTCATGTTTTAAAAGCAGACTGACACTGTTTGCCCAAAGCCAGAGCACTCTCCCAGAGCTTCTTTCTAGATCCCGTTGTATTTATTTCCACAACGGGCCTTATTTCTAGTATCTTATAATTTCCCACGAATTTCTTGAGTCCTAACAAGAGCTCTTGAACCTACTGCAAGCATATCTCTAATAAACATTTCACTGCCACTAGTGTGTGTGGAGAGTGACTTAGCAGGGGACCAGACACAGTGTTCCCTCTAAGCTGCGTTAGTGTAAGCAAGCCCACAGCTTTATAGCTTCTGGCTCACACACTTTTGTCTTCGCTCAGGAAGGATGGCTCCAGAGCAAACTAATTTATGCAGTGGCCAAATCGCTCACTCAGCTTTAATGCCATTAGCTCACAAAGTAGAATTTTTGCTCATGAGACTCCACAGCTTAGAGGGAGCATTGATGGCTGCTGGGACAGGCAGCAGGGTCTTCGTCTCTTTCACTCCCTCAGGGCTTCTCCAGTCACTGGATGGGTCCAAGTTTCACACTTGCAGCCAGCTGATGCTGTGTTTGCAATAGTTGTCTCAGCTACTTTCTCCCAGCAGGATGGGCAGCCTCTCAGCTAAATATGAGATGCTGCAGTCACACTAGCAACTGCAGCATCTTCGCCAGGCTGTAGTGGGGGCCTAGATGTCAGACTTCCAAGATGCTGAAGGTACTGCTCCCTGTGGGGGAAATCAGTTTCTCTCGGCTGAGTCTGAGGCATTGCACTCCCCGCCGGCTCCAGTGGGTCCTCCAGATGTCTCATGGGGGAAGGCTTCTCCCACAAGACAACCAGCGCTCCCATGATTGCTGGCCAAGATGCTGCAGTTACAAGGCTGATAGCAGCACCTCAGACTCAGCTGGGAGGTCAAGTTTGCCCCTTCCCCTTAGGGGAAATTGATGCCTCTCAGCTGAGTCCAGCCACTGCTATGATGACTGCAATGCCTTGGGCCTGGCCTAGGAGACAGCAGTTAGTGTTGGGGTGAAGTGCCTCCTTCACCAGCCTTGCAGGAGGGGGAACATAGGACGGTTGCTAGGAGAAGCTTTGGGGGGGTATGATGTGTTTCCATGGACCATGTGTGCTGTGCAAGAGTATGGCTTAAGTCCATGGACACCTGCAGTATTGAACTAGAATCCTTCCTCTTAGTTATATGCTCTTACTTAAAGAAAAAGAAATAGCTGACAATTAAATCTGGTATCAGTCGATAAAGGTACTAGTTGAATGGAAGAGGTCTTATTATCTTTTAATATATTTCCTTCATCCCACATATAATATAGTTGATAACAGATGGTTTTACAGATGGTTTGGCAGCAAGTACCCGGACAAAAACTTATTCCCATGTTTTTGAGAGTATGTGGTGGGAATTGCTTCTCTGTGGACCCTGAACAAAGACGAGATTGTTTTGAGAACTAGTAGTTCTCAACTGCGGTGGCTCAAGTGGATAAGACGCTGAACTGCTGGGTGTGGAAGATCGGTAGTTCAGCAGTTCGAGACCCGAGTTGCCACATCCTGCCAGCCTAGCAGTTCGAAAGCAAGGAATTGCAAGTAAATAAATAGGTACCGCTTCGGTGGGAAGGTGTTTAGTCATGCCGGCCACATGACCACGGAAACGTCTTCGGACAGCGCTGGCTCTTCGCTTTGAAACGGAGATGAGCACTGCAACCCTAGAGTCGGATTCGACTCTCTTTCAAGCAAGGGAACCTTTACCTTTACCTAGTTTAGTCCCAGATTTTTTAAAAATGAAAAGTACTACCAAGCCTAGTAAAATTATCATTATCATGAAATCAAACTATATTAATCTCGATTGGGCAATCTTGTTTTATCCTCCTTGATATAAATAAAAGTATTGTGCAGTTTGAGCAATGAAGATAAGGCTGCTGGTTCTAGAGCAGGTTTAGACCATGCTGCAGGAGAAACCAAGCCAGCAACAAGGTAGGGCTGGCTTTTTTTGTTTTAATTAGCATTTTTTTTGAAGGGGAGGGTCTGTTGGACCCGGAAAAAAATCTGGATTTTTGAAAAATACCATACTGGTATTGGAATGTGGGATTTTTCGACAATACTGGAATGCTTTTGGTCCAATAGACCCAAACTGGATTTTTTTTGCACACCCCTAAAGAAGACACAGCAGGGAGGTGGGGCAGGCAGGTCTGGAAGGGGCCTAGTCCTTGCAGCTCCCCCAAGGGAGTGGGCAGGTGGAAGCATTTGGTTGGTGTGCGCAGCAGTTGGCGTCTGCCTACTCATGCCCGTCTTTGATGTTGAACTTGACACCATGTTTTCTTTTCAACAGAAATGCTGGTTTAGGTGTCTGTTCCATGACTTGCAGACTGGGTGGCATTTTGGCTCCATTTGTTCCCTCTACAGTAAGTGCATGTTTTCTTTCTGCTGTGAGGTTAGGGGTATATCAAGATTATTGTCCCCACATTGTAAATAGGATATGTGGCTTTGAGAGACATTGGCCTGTGGCCATCTCACCAGTTCAGGAGAGGGTCCAGAATTGAAGTAGGTGCTTCCTGTGTCACAGACTGGTAGTCGCTGTGTAATACCAGTTTTCAGTTCATCTGTCCCCTTTCTTCCAGCTTTTTAATCCATTGAAGCCTTTACTGTGTACTATTAATTTTTCTCATCCTCATTCATGCAGTCAAATCAGAGGCTGGGGGTGGAATTGTAAAGGAGAGGAGGTGGGGTTAGGAGGTCTTGGAATTAAAGTAGTAGGTGATGGATTTTTCTATGTTCTTAAATAATTTATTTGTATTGCATACCATTCAGCATCGATTGATGGTGGATTAATTGTTGATTTATTCTAGAAAGCTCTTGGTCCATCGGTACCATTTATGATCTTTGGCATCTCTGGGTTGTCAGCGGGTTTCCTGACTCTTCTGCTTCCAGAAACGCTTAACAGACCTATTGCAGAGACCATTGAAGACTTGCAGACTCCTGCCTACCAAACGCTTAAAAACAAAAAGGCAGAGTAAAAATGATTTTTTTTTGTTTCTGATTTTTAGATATAGTTGTTGTACTTACCAGAATGGGGGCAAGACTTCTCATTCATTTGAAATCTCTTCTTAGTTTTCCCCCCTCCTCAAATGCAGTTGTTGTTTGTCTCTGAATCCAAGAACAAAGACTTCTGTATGCTGATAAAAACAGATGGCATTAAATATTTTGAGAAGAGATGTGCCTGGCAGAGTCCTTGTCAGGCTCACTGTCTAGCTTGCTTGCTTTTGCTTAGTTGTATTACTGACAGGTTGCTTGAATATATGATATCAGGCAGAACTCCGGGCTTCGTATTTCTTACTGCACTTCATTAGAAAAGATATGTGGAAGATTTTCTAATAGCAGATGCATGGCAAATAAAAACTTACAGAATTGTAATGTAGCTTACAGTGTTATCCTAAGGACACTTTCCTGGAAGTAAGCCCCACTGAATAGAGTGGAGTAGGGTTCTGAGTAGACCTGTTTAGGGTTTCACTTCCTGTTTTGTGTATTTGCTGATTGTCATCAAGAGATTCAATGTGATCATTTTAAAAAAGATAAATTTTAATTTTGGTGACCATACTGTTGTGTTGGTGTTTGGGAATTACAGGTGTTTATCAAGACCTTTTCAGATTTTCCCAAGAATGTTTCAAAACCGAATGTCAAATTAAATTCTCTCAATAAAAACTGTTTTGTTTTATTTGGCATATGCCCAGTAAACATTTACTGGCTCTCCTCCCTTGGTTATTTGTGTTTTTATGTCTATATATATGTTTTAAATGTTCTAATGCCTTGATGTTCACTGCCTTGGAGATCCTATTTGGGTGCAAAGGCAGCATATGAATGTTTTAAATTAAATAAAATGTTTTCTCACAAAGAATTGAATGTGGTGAACATTTTGTGAAAAGAATCATTTGTTGATGTAGAGTATGCAGTCACCAATTTTTAAAAGTTATGTTCAGTGTATAAGCGAGAAAATAGAAATAGTAGTAATGTGGTATGCACATAGCTGATGGTACTTTGGCAAAAAATGAGTAGCATTTATTTGAAATACAGAAATTGAAGCTTGTAATATGTTTATAAAATCTGCTTTTACATAAGCTTATGGAAACTGGTCATAAAACCCTCCACGTTTTTAAGCATTCTAACTATTCATGTTTTCATCTGTTTTAACAGGTAAATCTGTTAGAAGAAAACAGATGACATTTCCAAAAACGTTGCGGTTGAAAAAACGAACTGTCTTCTGGAGTAGTGCTTCCTTTGTTGAGGTGTGGCGCCATCAAGAGGACCACACTGCAATGTTCAAAGTATTGTGTGATTTATTGTATGTTCAGTTATTTATTTTAATGCAGACATTAATGTTGAAGACAGAAATAAGTTATGGAAACTTGTAAATAAAAATTAAATAGTTAAATCTTTAAAATACCACACTGGTATTAAAAAGGCAATAGCTGCACAACGTAAAATTTAAAAGAAAGAATCTTAGATTAATTAGATGCCAACATTTTACTTTAGGTTTGTTTATTGTAATCCTAAACACACTGTTAAGCATGAAGTATGAAGGTTTATTCGTGCATCTGTGTTTAGGCTTTTTTATGTGGTCTCAGGACATAATCTTAGTTGGAAAGATAGCACTCTGCTTCATAAAGTACTTTCTGACTGGAAGACTACAGAATATCTGGAGTTGTTTCGGTTCTTAAATTTTACAGACTCTGTGCAATGCCAATATTTTTTAATTTATGCTTTGTAATGAATGTTCCACTATTTATAATGACCAAAGATGCCTTTTGCTACCATTTCTATTTACTCTTGCTACAATATGAACTACCTGAAGTGTGGAAACAAACAGTATTGTTTGTTTGCATATATAGTGGTGCATGTGTGCTGCAGGAAACAGGTAAGTGCTCAAGAAGCAATTGTGGGTTTTATTTGACACAGGTATTGTTGTAAGTTTTGTGTTAAACTGATTTTGTTGGGAATCATGGCAAAGACTGGACTGTATAAGCTAATGAGAAGAGTGTTTTGCAATTCACCATGCTAATGGGATTTCCCCTCTCCACCTGGGCCTTTATTTATAGGGAGAATCTTGAAAATTGAAAATAGTATTTTGACAAGCTGCTTTTATGTAGGCCAACATCCCAAAATGTGTGGCATTAGGCAGACTGCTGTCAGTCTGTCAAATCATGTCATCTGGCAAAGACTCAGTCGACACAGCTCTACGTTTACAGTGTCATTTCAAGGTCAGATATATCTATATAGATATATATTTAGCTGATTGTCACTTAAATATATATTATTAATTGGCTCTCCACTTAGTAATACATTGGGCAGAGAACCAGAGTGTTTTGTTTTTCCTTTCATGCATTCCATTTTTTTCTGAGCTTTAGAGCACAGTTAACTGTTCCAAAGTGTCTTCTGGTGCTCCATTTGCTTTCTTTTATTTTTCATGTCAAAATAGGTGAAAAGAGATGAAGACCAATTTTTATGGGGAGTTTTACATTCTTGTATTATAATAAAAATAATTATGGACAGCTTTATAAATCTATATTTTTGTAATAAAAATGCAATATAAAGTTGCTCTGCTTGTGGAAGCGCGAGTGAGATGCAAAGATAATTATCTCAAAACACACTGCCATATCATGAAATGGTTCTTATATCAGATATGTAATGTATCTTTATATAGGCTGTTTTACCTGCCTTTTGTTCCCTGTGGTGTAGAAAATGACTAATAAACAACAGTGTCCATTTAAATGGGTAGGAGTTTTGTGGTTTGTCTTTTTAACTTTGAAACAGTCCTCCTAAACTTATACTAAAATGTTGGTAGTTTGTCAAGTTAACTTACTGCGTGTGCATTTTTCTCAGGAAGGAACAAATGTCACTTTTGGAAATCAGAATGAAAGGGTTTATGTGTCTTCACAGCACCAGAACCTGAACAACAGAGGTGAACTAGGGAACTATCTTGCCTTGCATTGACTTGCAAATTGAAAGAGCCTATGAATCTAACTGGAAGAATCTTGTTGCATTTGGCCAAGCTCTTCTATAAAATAAGAATGTTGTAGTTTCCTGGCTTTACTTATCTACCTGCGATGTAGTTTCTTGGAATTACTAAGGTGCAAGAAGTCAGCAAAACATTTTTATACCTTGGGGGGTCACTGTCCAGGCCATAATGGGTACTGTGAGGACATCTGGGTGGAACACTGCAGAAGGGAATTACTAACAAAAGTTTAGATGGGGTGAGCAACTAAGATGCTTAAGACACAATCTGGCAAGTTTCTTAATTAGCTATTAATAGAGACTTCTGGTCCCCTGGAGACTGATCTGTTTCAGATACTAAGAGAGTGGCTGAACAAGGTGTTGCCGCAAATACAGTGGTGGGACTAGGCAGGGAAATGAAAAGAACAGAGAAGCGGAGTAGCTCAGCCCCCTTTCAGCCTACGTCCCATCCCAAGGGTTGCTGGTAGTGGGGCTAGGATGAATAACCCCCCTCCGACATTGGTGCTGTGCAACACCAGGTCTATAAACAATAAGACCATGGTCCTCCGGTCCTTTCTGCTTGAGCAGAAAGTAGACCTGGCATGCCTGACCAAGACCTGGATGTGAGAAGGGGAGACAGTAGCTCTCTCCCAGTTGGCTCCTCCTGGATTCTCGGTCCTTCACCGATCGCAGACTAGGGGGCGGAGAGGAGGAGTGGCTCTATTCATTTGAGAGGCTTACTCCTTCAGGGTGTTCCCATCACTGAGGATCTTGGGCATAGAGTATGCCAGCCTAGTGTGGGAAGCCGGGGAGAGTTTGTCAATTTGGCTGGTGTACTGACCACCTAATGTACCGGCTAATAGCCTGCTGGACCTGATGGAGGCCGTGTTGGGCTGGGCATTGGAACACCCTAGACCAGGGGTGACCAAACTGTGGAACACCCTAATGGAAAATCCATTCCACGTTTTTATTGCAACTCTACTTGTACTGTAATGTATTTCAATGGAGCTCATGCAAGTCAATTCCTGGCTTCCATTATTTCCAATGGGCCTTCAAGTGTTTCCCATTGTTTCCAATGGGCAATCCTGTTCTTCCTTTTAGTACATCCCCAGCCAAGGGCAAATGGCAGCCCCCAGCAAGATGCCACCAGCCCCCCGCCCAGGCACCCCCCCGGCAAACAGAAAAGCCAGGAGAAAGAATCAGAACAGGCACCCACCTGGTCGTGCCAGCATGCCAGCAGCCAGGAACAAGCAGCAGATCGGAGGCAATGGCAAGCCCCCGCTGACCCCCCTCCAAGCCTGAAGACCTCCTGCAACTCCCACAACGCTGACGCCGCCCGTGTCTTCACCCACCCACCCCGAGGAGCCGCTCTTGCCCCCTGACCTGCGCACTGGAGGAAGGGAGGGAGGGGAGCGGCGGCGGGGGGAAGGCGGCAGAGCCCGAGCTGCCCACCCCCCTCCCAGGGATGAAGACGATGACACTGACGCTGGCAGGGGATGAGACAGAGGAGGAGGAGAAGAGGGACACCCGCAGGCTTGGAGGAGGCAAGGCGTCAGCCAGGCAGGGCTTGGGGCGCAGAGAGGTGCACTCGGGCAGGCACTCCCTCCTGCAGGCTGCTGCTGGTGCTGCTTATTACGGTCAGCCGCCTCAGAGGAGAAGGGGAGTCGTGGGAAGCAGCTGGATTCTCTTCCCCTGTTGGCTCGATGTCTGCCTTGCGTGGTCCCCGCCCTCCATTCAAACAGCCCAATCAGGGGCTGCCTGGGCAGCTAGGGCGACGGTGCATGTGCCCACAGAAAGGGCTCTGAGTGCCACCTCTGGCACGCGTGCCAGAGGTTTGCCACCAGGGGGCTAGGGTGTCACCAGTATACGGATGACACCCAGCTCTTATCTGTTGTTGGGTGGCCATGCTGACTCTACACCAGAAGATCTGGACCAGGCATTACAAGCTATGGCTTAGACTGAGTCAATTGAAATTGAATCTTACGAAGACAGAGGTCCTGTGCCTGAGCTGGGGCAGCCCAGGGGTAGAGATCCCTGTTGGTGCCAGCACTGGAAGTTAGGAGTTTGGGAGTGCTCTTGGATGCCTCCTTAACAATGGAGGCCAAGGTAGCAGCCACTGCCAAGTCA